TCTTCTTCACCTGTCAATAACTCGATGAAGTTGAAAGACTTAATGCCAGACATGCCTGTTCATTCTACAAATAAGGCGCAATATATGCTATGGGTAAGTTGCTTGCTCTGCACTTTAGTGCATCCAGACTGAAATACCCCGTGCGGAATTAATTACTCTTATTAACTGCTAATTCCCTTGAGGGAGGAATGTGTACTTTGCTCTCTGTGCTTTGGTTAACAAGCGGGTAATAAATCGATGACTTGCCAACAATATGGATATTGTGGTGCGGTGTAGTGGTCACGCCAAATGATGCGAGATAAACTGTATGCTTCTGTGTGCACCTAATGACGATTGCGATTCGACTTGACCCCCTGACAGCTGACTGACTTAGTGTAATTTAGTGCAAATCGCAAATTAAAATAAATTAAATGTATAAATCGTACTGTGAACTTTCTGCAAGATGTAATTGACGTCATATTCAAAAATAATTTTGTTGATGCCCTGTGCCTGGAATTTTCACGCATATGAAATAATTGAATTAATGTTCTGTTATACATGACTTGTTTTAAGTTTGTGGAAAGTAGCTGTGACCCGTCGAAGGTCGTCGATCTCTGGGAAGTTTGCGGGTCATCGAAGGCTACACAGTATACGTGGGACTGCACGAAAAACGACACCTTACATTTGGACGGTAAATTCTTGCCGCGAAATCGATTTGATCGCTTGTACATGAGACCGTCTATACCTCGGGCATTCAAGCCAAAGGAGTTTCGCTTGGTCGGAATACATCGAATCCGGGCTACTATGTGCTTTCCGAGTGACCATTTTGGAATACTGTCGGTACTTGATGTACTCTGAACTCTTTGATGCATAACTCATTTTTGTTCGACTTCAGTTTTCGTTTTTTTTATTTTGGTCAACGCCTTTTGTTGACTAAAAGTACTATTTTGTTTTGCATCCTGTTTCTGATTGCTTCTGGTAACGCTGTTTTCGGTTTAGGTACTTTTAAGTAATTTTTACTAGGGGCATTTCAGGAGAATTGGCGGCCATCGTTGGTATTAATTCAAAGTGAACGCACTGCGAAATCTTTCATTACGCTTGCTGTCATATGAATTGAAGGTCCTGACTCTTTTTGAATTAAGAAACAACGTAGCTTAAGGTCTGATCTGGACATCACGAGGTGACGAAGCATTGAATCAGGGGTCAATTGAGACAGCAATAAAATCTGACCCATAACTCAGCAAGCGGAAGATAATGGTTATTATAGTTAAATATACACTTTGGGATAATTTCAGGTGATGCCTAAGATAAATTAAGCAGCACTGCAGTCGTAAATCTTAGCATCGGCTAACATGATTCCAAGTCTCGTAATCCTTGATCTGACAACGCGGAGCGACGCCTTGCAAATTTTTCAGAGTTTTAATTTGGTACTTACTTTCCAGCTAATAGCCAGCACTGTGAGGCGAATGTCTCCCTTAAAGCAAATGGCATTTGGTAAAAGTTTCGTTAATAATTTGATCTTCCTTCGTATATTAATCAATACATCTGGTATCCGAGGTTTACAGTCATCAGTGCGCTAGTGCTTTCCCAGTATCTAATTAAGACTTCTAGTTTTTGTCTTTAGTTGACACCTTTGCTCCACGTCTAATCTGGCTTAAATGTGCTTGTTTGTGTAGAAAAGTAAACATGCTCACTTTCAATTCTCTGCTTAATTATAAGGATCTTCTTGCCTAACTAATGTTTCATTCAGCTTTTAATAAGTAAATAATTAGATCTAGAATTTTAGGTTTCAATGCATTGTTCTACTTCTTGTTCCTTTTTGATTGACCTCCACCATGCGATTGATGCTCAGTCAGCTTTTCTAACACTGCCAGTCTTTTCTTAATATGCGTATCTGCTGAAAATACCTGCACCCAGAAGGGAGTATAACTGTTCCTTGCGTGCCTCTGATATTTATTTCTGATTATGCATCGAATCCAACGCTGCTGTGCGCTGTTCAACCGTTGTCGTGGCCTTTTTTCGTTCAACTGTCTCCGTGCTACACAGAAATTGACAACTGTAGCAAAGTACAAGGGGATGTTTATGGAAAGGAACATTCCTTCATCTATCTAGATATTGGAGAGGTCACTGAAAGCAAGAATGATCACCAATTATAAGTCTGATTGGATTGTATCATCGTCTTTCTAGTATCCGCAGTGTGTCACCGCGGCGTTCTATTGTCTGTAGCAATGCTTTGTACCTTGCTCCTAATTGCCTTTCCTAACGCGCACTCTTTAAGCCTTCATTAACAACATTGCAAAGTTATTTCAACATTAAACCAAATTTGAAGTCATACCCTTAGTGTATACGATCAAATTGCTGTGCATATCTAAATCGTCTGATATCTGCAAATGGTATCTATGATTTGCTTCCATTTTTATAAACTGGTTTTGTTGTTCATGAAGCACTTCTTCGTTCCTTACACTATTTTATGATAATCTGACAAGATG